AGCATTATTTGTTCATCGTTCAAAGATTACCCCCATTTATAAAACTAAAAGTTTTAAGATGTAGGAAGATTTTACGCCGGTCAAATGCACTCGGGCGCCGCATGATTAACATCGCGCAACATCAGCATCACACGGAACGCACATGTAAGAAACCTTGTGAATTACGGCCGTTTCACACCGCAAACGTGAGCAGCGCGTATTATTTCTGACGTACATATTAATCAATGAGTGCATTCACACCGGGAGCAGGAGCAGCGGTGAAGCGCGTGTGTCGGCGCAGAGTATTTTTGCTGCACTGCTCACGCTCAATTAAAGTGAAAGCACACTTTTGATGTACAAAATAAATATGATTTCACACAAAAGTGCCCAAAATGCACAGAATTTGCATGTCTGGTGTGTTTTAACAAGAACTGGAGTATATGTCAGAAAAGAAAATGAATTTTCTTTTTGAAATAAACACATTTTTTTAATTGGATATTGGATGTGAAAAGAAGGAAATGGTTCCTCCATAACACTGCACTTTAGATGTTTGTGAATTTCCCACACCAGGAGTAATTTATATAGTCCTATTTTATAGCGATTACTGTTCAAAAATGTTCTATGTAAAATGTTCTACTAAAGAAAAGAGAGAAAATAAATATTTGTGTGTGCTGTAAAGTGGTTAGAAAAAATGAAATCGGAATCGGCTAAAATCGGTATCGGCAGGTCAAACTCTGAAAAATCGGAAATCGGAATCGGCCTAGAAAATTGTAATCGGTGCATCTTTGTAATATTATTTAAAGCTGCAGTCCGGCATTTTTCCTCTTTGTCGCCATCTCTGTTCGAAATCTGCAATTGCAGTCATTCGCGGAATTATCAACTTTACGTGGGTTGTACTTCAACACCCTCGACACGGCGCAGCGCGGATGAACACAGTGTTTGAGGAGAGTGTGCAGCTGTCAGTCACCGCGCCGATGTGGATATTGTCATTCAGAATCACAGATTATTCTTTTTGGAAGTATGACCAACATAACAATTTTCACCGGGAAATGTCATCTGAACTAGTAAGAAACATTCACTTTTGTTCTGGTTCTGACATTGCAGTAAATCGCGCTGATTAAATCTAACAATTGCTTATAAGTTATCATTTCACGCAAAACCGTGTAAAGTAGCTATACTATGTTCTCTAATTGTTAATGTTAACAACGTCAGCATTGCGTGACTACATCATGTAATGTCCTTCCGATATTATCCTTGTTTTCGCATGGGTCCGGTTGCAGTCTCTTTTTTTCTGTAGCCACTCCGAAGTCCGAACGAAGTCTTTTGCATGTTACAGCGGGTGAGTCTCTAGTTGTCACTGATGATGATCGTCGTTTGAACCTTTCTGGATCCGCCATCAAATTGATAAGTTTAATTATATCAAGTGCTGTGAGAAAAGGCTATAAATCTCCACCTCCAACATCCTCACATGCAATATAGCTTATACTAGCCGAGACTCCTTCTTTATGTGTACAGATGTGACGTAATGACGCAAAGACATGCTCGAATCTCCCGCGGAAATCCACCAGTACCACTAAAATTAAAAACATTATTACAAGCTTACCGTTTTGCATCGAGCTAAGGCAAGCAGATAGTTTTGAACACTGGCTGGTTATGTATTTTATCAAATATGTATTTTGGATAATTTTTAACCCAAAAAAAGCTACGGACAGCAGCTTTAAGTTCAAGAGTTTCTTTAACACTTTTTTTTTTCTTAATATAAGACATAAAGAAGATATTTTTGTTTACATTTTATTTTTGTTTTTGACTTCTATAACTAATATAATTTGTTGTTCGCCTTAATAATGTGGATAAATAAATAAAAAAATTCAATAATTATCGATACTGAACGATATGAAACATTATATTGTGATATTTTTTTTAGCTATATTGCACAGTCCTAAATGGAGTTTAGATTTAATTGCAGCAAAACTACTTGATGAATATAATAAAAGACTATATATGTACATGTTTTTTTGTTCATTATGTCTTGATAAATGTTCATATATTTATGCATGTTTTTTAAATTATTTTTATTTTGTAACTTAGCACCTTTAACAAGTGTATTGGTTTCTGTTAATTTAATATTGTATATTTATTTTTCTTGTCATTAATTGTTTTGTGTAATGCTTTGGTAATATTGTACATAAACACAATCATGCCACTGAAGTACTTTAAAATTAAAAATTAAAATGGTTTTGTACAGGGCTTCAGAGTCGACCTGCCCATCAAGTCTGCACGTTACCGTGGCCAGTACAACACATATCCCATCAAGCTGTTCTACACCTCCAACATTCCCATCATCCTGCAGTCTGCTCTGGTTTCGAACCTTTACGTCATCTCTCAGATGCTCTCCACCCGCTTCAGCGGGAACTTTCTGGTCAACCTCCTGGGAACTTGGTCTGTAAGTGTCACCAATGCTTCTTTTTTTTTTTTTTGTGTACCTTGTATTGAATTTGACACTATATTTATTGTGCAAATCCAGAGCATGTTTATAGGAAACAGTCTGAAAACAAGTTGGATATAGAAAAGAAAACCTTCCTTAAAGCATATCTATTTTTTGTTGTAGGATACATCATCTGGTGGCCCGGCTCGTGCCTACCCTGTAGGTGGTCTGTGTTACTTTCTGTCTCCTCCGGAGTCGTTTGGTTCTGTGCTTGATGACCCAGTCCATGCAGTGATCTACATTGTATTCATGCTGGGATCCTGTGCCTTCTTTTCTAAGACCTGGATTGAAGTTTCTGGATCATCTGCCAAAGATGTGAGTCACTAGCGCTTGTTCATTTATCAACACTTAATTTGATTATTTGGTATGAAGTTGTAATGGGGTGTGTGTGTGTTTTAGGTGGCCAAGCAGCTGAAAGAACAGCAGATGGTAATGAGGGGACACAGAGAGACCTCCATGGTTCATGAACTCAACAGGTGAGCTGCAAACACACTTGCTCTGTAAGCTTAGCTTGTAAATACTTGATTATCAGGACCTTCATTCACCTCACGCTTTCTCTTTCTGTTATTCAGGTACATCCCCACAGCTGCAGCATTTGGTGGACTGTGTATCGGAGGCCTTTCAGTAATGGCTGACTTCCTGGGTGCCATCGGCTCTGGAACAGGAATCCTATTGGCTGTTACCATCATCTATCAGTACTTTGAGATATTTGTTAAGGAACAGAGTGAAGTCGGCAGCATGGGAGCGTTACTCTTCTAAACAAGGACACTGACAAATCACACACACACACATACTTGCTGACACCTTGTAAAACACTTTTATCATTTTTATGATTGTTGTTGTCTTCTTTTTTTTTTTTTGGTGTGATTTGAGCATTAAAAATGGTCTGTCACGAGTGCCGTCTTGGGAGAATGTGTTCTTAGCCTCTAGTTCAGGCCGAGTTTGTTCTCCTATTTGTCAGAAGTGGCAAAATGTTTCTAAAATTCAGTGATGAAGCTGAACTTCAGTGATTGGACAGTAAAGATGGACTCTGTGAGCTCTGACTAGGAATATTCAGGAATTTTCCCTTTTCATCAGTCTGTCCTTCCTCAGTCTCCATGAATCCCTTCATTCACCCTTTGCTTTATTTCCTGTCTGAACCTAGTTATGCCTGGTAAAAGGATTTTCCAGAAAGGATTGCTAATGCTGGATGAGTGATTTACTCAACACTGCCAATTTTGTCTCCACACACACACAAACTGTCTCAGTTTGTCAGTCATATCTATCTTATGTGAAGCTAACAGGCTTTTTTTTGTGTCCATAATAGCTATTGTTTAGGCTCATAACTACTCATGCCATATTTAATCATAGAAATTGTGATGGTTTAGTAATAGTTAGAGGTCTGAGAACCAAACAGGTGCCTGGTTTCCAGCCAGCAGAATAGCTTGTCAATTCTAAACAAGACAGTATCACAACAGAGGAAATGCAATACACAGTGTGGCACCAATAGTGTGGTGTTTTGTTTGTTTTTTGTGTGGTGTGTGTGTGTACACAAGCTGGAATCCTTTTGTACAGAATACATCAGTGAGAGCTTAATTGGCAGACAGAACTGGTTACACCTAAAGTCTGTTTACTTTCTAAATTAAGCCATTTCTACTGTATCATTGTGTGTCTGTATATATGACATTTAATGCAGTGCGCAACCATGTAAAATAGACCCTTTTTCTTTTTTTTCTGACTGTAAAAAGAAATGTTCCGAACAAATATATTCAGCAAAGACTGATCATTCTCAATAAAAACTCATTTTTTGGGAGAGGAGATTGTTTCATTTGTGTCTGTGAGAATGGCTAAATAGACCTTTAATGATTAAACATGGCTCAGATTATTTATTTTGGCACTTGAAATAAATTTAATTATGCAGGTTTCTGTAAAATGTCTAAAGCACCTCTCAAGCCCTCTGCATTGTGTTAGTTATTATGTTTAACTGAAAGAATTGCCACGTTTAAGGAACTCCAGTATAATATGGTATGGCTTTTTCCTTTTCTGAAATTTGGGCAAAAGCTGATGGGATGTTCAGAGTTTGTGTTAGTGACTTATGTTGTTTATTCATATTTAAGACTAAGAGTACTGTTCGTTTCATTGGCTCTTTTTAAATTTCACAACAATTATAGTAAAGTAAAATGCTTTCCAAAAACGCGCACTCAAAGGAATGGGTTTATTCTATTTTTGCAGGCATTCTGAGAGGCAAAAATTTGGGGCCCTCGTCTACTGTATATGACGTCATGTTTTTGAAGTCCTCCCCCTGGGCGACCTACCTGGGTTGTTGAAAGCTTTACTGTCTATGGTTGAAAGCGGCATGCGGTGAAAGATTGATAGGAGGACGGATAGATCAAAGTCTCTTTCAAGTCTTTGGGATAGACAGCAGCGGTTGATCGTTGCTGGTGATCCGGTCTCTTTGACACCGCAATATATTGATAACAAAGCGCCGTGAAATCAGCGCAAGCACTGCATTATATCTGCTAAATTTCCATTACAAATTGATTATACGTTAAAAGAAATGACTGCAATCAACGGGGAAGGTAATACAGAGTAAATTCCTGAAATGTGTGGGGTATTTTTCTTCTGTTTTTCTGTTGTCTGTTTAACGTTACTCGTTGAGTTTCAGTAATGTCTGTGAAACATGAATCTAGCCATAAGACGAGTGATAGCGACGACCTTCTCATAATAGCGTGAAAACTGTGACACGTGCGATTATTGTATTTTCACCTCACTGATGCCACACTAAAATATGTTTTATTATTATTTGAGGATTTTTATTTTTAGTATTTATTTCAAGAATCATGGGTTGTATTCCCTGTCAGAATAAAGTAACGAATAGATAAACTGAAAAAAATGTTCTAAAAAGGCATCATTGTCCACACCACAATAATATTGTTTAGACAGAAATAACATTAACATTACACAGTGTAACAAAAATTAACTGTAAGAGAATTTAGTGTGATGGGGGAAATCACCATGTGTAAATCTGAATGTTGACCTTGGAAGAAGTTTTACCACAACTTTATTTATTTATTTTTTATTTTATTTATTATTTATTTTTTACAAATGAATACAATTATTAACACCAGTGATGTAAAATAAAGGGGCAGGTTTTCTTTTTAAATATATATTATATATTACTTATTTACTAACTAACTAGCCTATTAATTGTCTTTATGAACTCTTTACAGGGAAGGACCAAGTCATATTTGTTACCAAGGAAGAGCATGAAATTCCTAGCACTGTGGAACTGGTTGAGGAGGATGCAAATGAGGACAATGAAGAAAAAGGTGAGAGAGGAAACAGGAAGAAAGTTAGTTAATCTGCGAATTATATATCGATAGAAAGAAATACTTCCTTCTTCAGATTCAATTTAAAGCTGTATAACTTTGTAACTTTATATCTACCTCATTATCTCTGTGTATTCAGGTCTCATCTTGCCAAGTGGTGAGATAAATTGGGATTGTCCGTGTTTAGGGGGGATGGCAAGTGGAGTATGTGGAGAGCAGTTTAAGACCGCATTCACCTGCTTCCACTTAAGTCAAGAAGAGTTGAAGGGCTCGGACTGTCTGGAGCAGTTCGGAAGCATGCAGGAGTGTTTTCGTCAACATCCTGAACTGTTCCCTCAGGAAGATGATCTTCAAACTGCAAATCCTGGGGCAGACTCAGAGCAAAAAGATTCCCCTTCTATCTCTGACTTCAGCACAAGTGAAGAGTCTGGCCCTCTGCCTTCACAGTTGCCCATAGCTACTTAAAACTGTAGAGAACCAAACTCCATCTCATATTCCACAAATTATTTTTTACTAAAATATATTTATATCTGTTTTTATCTGTTATATTTATATCTAAGATGAGACATTAAAAGGGAGACGAGGACAATGTTTACATAAATGTAGAAAGTAACATTACATGGATTATATATTTTTTCAAAACGTTTTATGATTAGGTTAAATGACAATTTGATATTGAAAAAAAAATGGTGAGAAGTCCAGAGAAATAAAGCATATAAAGGATGAAAAACTAGGATGAAAAATACCATCCTCATATTTATAAATCCATCATAGTTTGAATTGTGTTCTTTTTTATTTTTGTGTTCTATTTTTTCCCAACAAACATCTTAATCAAACTGTAACTTTGTTACATATTGACACGCAATATGTGTGAAAGTGTAATTTTACATCAACTGAGACATTGTGTCAAACATGGTGCTTTAGATTACAAGTGTTTGTGTGTACAATGTGAAATCATATTTTAATTAAAGATTATAGACACATCAATTATATAGTTTGCCCATTTAAGTATAAATGTATATAACTGTGTGTGCTTCTTTAGTCAAATGCTATCAGTAAAATAAAGAAAAGTTTATGAATCAACATTCATAGTGGGTGCAAAAGTTTAAGATTACATGAAAAAGATGGGACTCAAAACATTGCCTGTATTCCACAAGACAGAGTAAGAAGAGCCATACCAGTTTGGAATGACATGAGGGTGAGTAAATGATAACAGAATTTATTTTTATTTTTTGGGTGAACTATCCCTTTAAGGGTTCTAGAAAATTCTGTCAGGCAAGTATCTACTGACATATTTGAATGATATGTAAAAAGAAAGGTATGACCCAGAATGAGGCTTCTTGAATTATATATTTTGACAGCCAGCATTGAACATGGTGGAAGAATTGGCTTTTAAATGATCAATGACCTTAAACCAATCATCCAATGTTAGTACAATGAAATTCGTCATGTTTCTGAGCTTGGGTTTGTTTTTATGTTTTTGGGAGAGTGCCACATCATGTCTGGCTTGTTCAATGATTACCTGAAAGAGATATCCGAAGTTTCTTATTGGGTAAGACTAGATAGAAAACCAAGTAAACTGACCAATGGACTGATGGGGAGGAGGTTAGAGGGTCAGCAGGGCAGTGTTCATATGAACCTCTGTGATTCTTCCTAAAAATTTCAGACTAATCCAGTGAGAACGTGTAAGTATAAGCCTCAGCTGACAGAGAGAACTTTTAAATTGATTTCTGCTGTTTTCATTTCTTTGTATCTCCTCTCTGAATGCAGGAGTGATGTCCAGTCTAAAGGAGATCTGTGCGGGACTGCCTCTTGATCCTCTTCCCCCAAACCGTGGGAGAGACCCCAATGTACCTCATGCACCTGTCCGAACTCCAAACCTCACGCCAGCAGAAGAACGGGTGGGTCAACATATCTCTCACACCTATGCTCCGTCATTTAATTATTCATAATAAATGAAAATTTATCATTAATAAATAAAAATTTGCAGAATGTCTGAGTTGCTTTGTTTCATACAATGAAGGGGGGACCAACAAGGACAAAAATCATAAAGTGTTGTAAATGTATAGAGCATATGACTGTGCTGTATTCAGTTTTTAGAAGCCATACTATAACTTTATACTGACAAATCACACAGAAGTTTATTTATAATTTGACATAGTTGTGACTCAAAAGCAAGGCTGTTTACAATCCCCCAAAAATCAATAAAAAATGTATGTTGAAATATACAGTACAAAAATTTGGGGTCAGTAAGATATAAAAAAATGAAAATTATACTTTTATTCAGCAAGGACACATTAAATTGTTTAAAAGTGACAGTAAAGACTTTTACATTGTTACAAAAAATCTATTTAATTCATGAATAATTCGTTTTACAGTTTCCAAAAAAAATATTAAGCAGCTCAACTGTTTTGAATATAATAAGAAATGTTTTTTGAGCACCAAATCTGCATATTAGAATGATTTCTGAAGGATCATGTGACACTAAAGACAAGAGTAATGATGCTGAAAATTCAGCTTTTCCATCACAGGAATAAATTACATTTCACAATATATTAAAATATTAAACACTTATTTTAATTTGTAAAAATATTTCACAATATCAAAGTTTTTACTCTATTTTAAATGAAATAAATGCAGCCTTGGTGAGCAAAAGAGACTTTTGCCGACCCCAAACTCTTGAACTGTTGATGAATTTAAATGAATTAAATGCTTCAGGTCCACTCAGTGGTCAGCAAAGGTAAAAATAAATAAATACAGAATCTCCCTAATCTTTCCACACTGCAAGTCCTGTCAATCATTAAAGATAAGAGTCTGAATTTCAAACAGAGAAAGGGAAGAATGCTCAGTATTAGAGGGGTTGAGGGACAGAGACCAAAACCTTTTGTAAATTGATTGCATCATGATCACTCATTCTCTCTCTTCAGTTAATCTTTACTGGACTCGCTTGGGTCTCTGTCATCATAGTGTCTCTCTCTGTCTCTGTCTCTCTAGCTGGCTTTGAGGAATGCTTTGAGATACTTTCCTCCTAGTCTGCACGCGACTCTGGCTGCAGAGTTTGCGCAGGAGCTCAGGCAGTATGGACACATCTACATGTACCGCTTCTATCCTGCACTGCGTATGAGGTACAACAAAAGCAATTGCACAGCAATTTAGGCAACTGTATTGATACGGTATGTCTTGACTATGGCAGTTCACACACCAAATCCATGACTACATGTGTGTTACAGAGCCTATCCTATTGATCAGTACCCATGCAGAACAAGACAAGCTGCTTCCATCATGCTTATGATTATGAACAATCTGGATCCTGTTGTAGCACAGGTACATTTTCACATGTTGTATTATGTTTTGATGTAATAGTTAAGAAATTGCTGCAGCTTCATTGCAGTATCAGCAAGTGGGTCTGTTCCTAACTTCAAGAAAATATGTTATAGTGTAATGATCTCCAGAATTCCATTAAGCTCTGATTTTAATACTTATTTTAATTCTCCCAGTTCCCACAAGAGCTTGTAACGTATGGAGGAAATGGACAGGTGTTCAGCAACTGGGCGCAGGTAAAGTGTGAGATTTTTATATGTATTTATATATTACTTTTATTACAGCTATATCTGTCTGTGTTATATTAAATTATAACAAATTAAGCTAATTGTTATTAATTAAGTTGATGTAATGTTTATTTTTAAGTCCCGTACTTTTCCATCCACGAGGGGGCGTAAGGGTATAAATATCGCGTGAGCTCTCAGCTAACAGATGCTGATGATGAGTGACGCAAAAAAAAAAAAAGAACTAACCTGTGCGTCTCCGTTTCTCCTGTTTATTCAGGGTTTTAAACTGTCCTCACTCCCCCTGCCTTGGGACTTGTGATATATTGTAGTTGATATGTAGTAAATACTTTTAGTTTCTTTTTAAACAGAGAAAACCAAGTGAAACTAAGTATTGGGCTCAGCAATTCAACTGGCAATTTATGTCCATTATGTTTATGTGTGTGTTCGTATACGTAGTTCTGGCTGGTATTTCACTATCTGAGCACCATGACTGAAGAGCAAACTCTTGTGATGTACAGTGGTCATCCATTAGGTCTCTTTCCCAGCCTCCCCTCTTCTCCACGCTGTGTTATCACGAATGGCATGGTAAGATACACAGACACACAGGCCATTCTGCATGGGATATAAGTAAGGGAAGGAAAATAACTGTTTATTTTCTGTTTCTTCTTGTGTGGTTTCAGGTTATTCCAAACTATTCTTCCAGAGAGGAATATGAGAAGATGTTTGCTATGGGCATTACCATGTGAGATTTCACCAATACCTAATAACAATCTAACTAGGCTCTTTTAGTAATGTACATGTTTGCATACATTACCATTCAAAAGTTTGGGGTCAGTGATATTTTTGAAAGAAGTCTTTTATGCTCACCAAGGCTGCATTTATTTGATCCAAAATACAGTAAAAACAGTAACACATGTTTACTTTCTATTTTATATATATTTTAAAATGTAATTTATTCCTGTGATGGCAAAGCTGAATTTTCAGCTGTAATTACTCTAGTCTTCAGTGTCACTTGATCCTTAAGAAATCATTCTGATATGCTGATTTGGTGCTCAAGAAACATTTCTTATTATTGTCACAGTTGACAACAGTTGTGCTGCTTGATATGGAAACCATGATACAATTTTTAAAGGATCCTTTGTTAAATAAAACAATTCAATTCTTTAAAAGAATCTGACCAACACTTTTGAGTGTTAGTGAAAATTTGATCAAAATTTTTAAAGGATCCTTTGTTGAATAAAACAATTCAATTCTTTAAAAGAATCTGACCAACACTTTTGAGTGTTAGTGAAAATTTGATCAAATTAAATGTGGTTGTTGATTTTACTGTCATTTAAATGACCTTGAATGCCTTACAGTCCACATTTATCATTGTAGAACTGGGCAATAGGATAGTGTGCATAGTCTAGTAGTGTGTATGTTTCTCTGTGTGTATGGTCAGGTATGGACAGATGACCGCTGGAAGTTACTGTTACATTGGCCCTCAAGGCATCGTTCATGGCACCATGGTAAGAAGAACATACAGAACTAATAAAAATGTGCTATCCAAAACTTATCCAAAAATGTACTAAAAGAGTATCCTCTCTGCCTGTTTAGTTGACAGTGCTTAATGCAGGTCGAAGATACTTGGGCTCAGATGACCTGAGGGGTCGTGTGTTTGTGACATCTGGTCTGGGTGGCATGAGCGGAGCACAAGCAAAGGCAGCAGTCATTTCTGGCTGTGTAGGGGTCATTGCCGAGGTTAGATGATGGTGGTGTATGCTTACTCTTACCTAACCATCTCAGTGAATACTTCAAACCAATCACAACATTCAGTTTCTAGTTAAAAGCAAATTGACTCACCAATCAATCAAATTTTACAGTTTAGATTCAATCAAAGAGAAAATACTCTAATCTGAAGGGATAGTTTAGCCAAAAATTGGAAATTCTGTCATCATTTATTCACCTTGATGCCATTCCAAACCTGTATGAATTTCTATTTTCTGTGGAACACAAAAGAAGATATTTTGAAGAATGTTGGTGACCAAGCAATTATGGACAAAAATACTAAAACTGTTTGGTTTACGCTTTTCCTGGCCATAAAAGTGGGCACGGGACTCCTTTTGGTCCATGTTAGCTAGCTGCAATAACTTACTAAATAAAAAGTCTTCACATTTAAGTCCAAATTGCAACCCACCCTCAGACCCCTGAAATGATGCAAAGCCCTAAGCACACTATCATAACTGGCCTCTACAGGTTGATGAAGCTCCCCTAAAGAAAAGGCATGAGCAGGGCTGGCTGATGGAAGTCACTAGTGATTTGAGCCACTGCATCAAACGCATCAGGTACAGTATGCAAGAAAACATTGAAACACATTGAGACTTACAGACATATCTTAAACTTCTAGCACTTAATCTTATAGAGAGGCCAGAAAAGCAAAAGAGGCCTTGAGTTTAGGCTACCATGGCAACATTGTGGATCTCTGGTAAGTTGTGTACTTCATATTCTCTATTTTTTGTGAGTTTTATTTGGTAAATTATAAGTGCAATATGTTTCAGGGAGTGCCTCTACCAGGAGTATAAGAAGACAGGAGAGTTGTTGGTTGATTTGGGTTCTGATCAGACATCACTTCACAATCCCTTCAGTGGAGGATATTACCCAGTGCAACTCACCATCAGACAAGCCAACCAGCTCATGAACACTGACCCCCAGTGCTTCAAAACCTTAGTACATGAGAGGTACACACAAAAATACATCTTAATGCCACAAATAACTAAAAGTAATTTAAATCTACATAAGCTCCAAACTCCCTTGTGTAGTCTTTGCAGGCAGGTGGAGGCCATCAATAACTTGTCAGATGCAGGGATGTTCTTCTGGGACTATGGCAATGCTTTTCTCTTAGAGGCTCAGAGAGCAGGCAAGTAAAGAGTAATTGTCACAAAATAAAGCATGACACGGTGATTAGGTATTACTCTGACGGGGTTTATTTATTTTAAGATAAATCCTTCAGACTGTATATTATCCAAATACTTACCAAATAAATGAATGAGCATTAAATAATGAATAATTTTATTCAGTGAGAAGGAGACCACTAAGTGATTTGAGAGATGTAAAACTGTAGTTATGTAGCAAAAGGAAAAAAGGTAAATTCAATGTCATAATACAATTAAATTATCTGTCATAATACAAAGATAATACCCTAGACCACAAAATGCCAAGATTAGCCAGTCAGAATTAAGTGTAGTGAGACTAACATCAAACTATGCATAATAAAAGTGTGCGGTTACACTGTGTTTTAAGGTGTAATTGTTACAATGTAATTATACATTTAAGTAATGAATAACATTAAAGGTCCTATATGGAACTTTTCTTCTAAAATGAATCCATTTTTTTATTGCCTGTGTGTGAAGGGGTTGTAATCACACATTACAATGATCCACTTGTCGGGTTCTGCTATTACCTCTGAAGGCCAGTATTCCTATTTCTATGTGAATTCTCCAGGGTCGGATTTTCTGCGAAATCCATCGGATGTGACGTGCATGCGCGCTCCCGAGCCTCTCTCCTTTTTATATACAGTCTATGCGACGGCACTGCAGCTGACGACATGGAGTCTGATAACACCAAACAACGACCTGCCTCCAGCACAACACACACTCCAACACAAACTCCACATAAATATAAAAAACTAAACAAAAATGAATCTGCTGAAGCTCGTCAGGCCAAACGTGAATCGGATCGACTTAGGTCGAAAACACGGATCAACATCGGCAGAGCGTTTGAATTATGGAGAGACCTCCGCTATTTTTATTGTGATAAATTACAAGTTTTCAGATATGCTGAAATAATGGTAAACTGTAATGAAATAGCAAGGTAAACTACAACATATATGAGACATGAAATGAATACAAAAGACTGTTCCAGGATAACAAAAAGTAGGTGCTTTAGGATGTAACTTTTATTTTATGTACTAGATCTACTGTCTAACGTCACTCATCCCACTACTATCATATTGTTTATAATACACATTTCCAGACACGTTCAGTACAGTAATGTTACTTCCTACGATCTTACTGTTACACTGAAATTGTTCAGTCTAGGCACTAACCGTTTTCGTTATCATATTATACATTCACCTATGTTGACATTGCTGATTGTGAAAGATACACGAATAGTTAGTGAAATGCCTTATGCTAGATAACAACACAAATGTAACGTTATCATGGTACGTTATCAACGTCAAGCTGATAAAAGTAGCCTATTATTGTAACGTTGCAGTGGGAGTTTACATGAGTTTCCAGCATGTTGTGTGATGCTTTCTCCGGTGTGTTGAAAGTCTCAGTGTGGCCGTGTACCATGATGGCTTGCTCTTGAGTTCGAGCACGCGCAAGAGCACGAGCGCTCTTGTAAAAATTGGTTGCAATCTGAAACATCACCGATAGAGGCTGCTAAGAAATACATATAGCACCTTTAATTCACTACATGTACCTAGGGTTTAGTTTAGGGTTAGTTGCATGTAATTATGCATAATTTATAGTTATTATAGTAACTACATGTAATGTGTAATAAGGACACAGTAAAATAAAGTGTTACCAAGTTTTCTTCCGTCTCTTCAAGGTGCCAAGGTAGAGAAGAAAGGGGGAGGGGCTACTGAGTTTAAATATCCCTCATATGTCCAACACATAATGGGGTAAGTGACCATCCGCAGGCCACTCACTCACTCACTCACTCACAGACTAGTTTTAATCTTTGCCCCTTTCTGTAGGGATATTTTTTCACTGGGTTTTGGGCCATTTCGTTGGGTCTGTACCTCTGGTGACCCGGCTGACCTGGCTGAGACTGATGCAATCGCCACTGCTGTACTAGAAGAGATAAGTTCCACAGTAACTGAACGTGTCCGACAGCAATATAGTGACAATATCCGCTGGATACGTGAAGCTGGGAAACACAAGATGGTATGGCTCACAGACACCCAACTCTAAATAAATAAAATAAAATATATTAATTTTGTCGTCACGTTAATTTATTTACCCATCGATTTTGCACTTATACTGAGAGCTAGTGGAATGGACTATGGATGCAGCATAAAACAAAAGCAAATATACTAATGCTATTGTAAAAATGTGCTATTCAACCAAAATTTATTTATTCAGTCCACAAAAGTGTCCAATATAAGCGGGTTATACAGCATGTATTATTCAACTGGCCATGTGATCTCAGCATGTCGGCCACCATGAGGCAGGGTTATTATAGTTAACTAAAACTAAAACCTAACAATAACCCTGACATGAGGTGACCTACTCCATGTAAAATAAAACAGCTTTCATTAGGATACTATTTTCAAACGTATGTTTTAAAAGTACTAAACTTTAAATAAATAAATTGTCTTAAAATAATGTTTTGTGTGTTTGCAATTTTTGCTTTATCTGGTCTCTTTTGTGTTTAGGTTGTGGGTTCACAGGCCCGTATTCTCTATTCGGACCAGAGAGGGAGAGTTTCCATTGCCTTGGCAATAAACCAAGCCATTGCTAAGGGCAAAGTCTCGGTAATTTGCGTGTGCATACTACCGAACTCATTTAATTATAGTTCATTAATACACACTTTGCAACATATCAGTGCAACTGTCTCCTCTCCCCCCCCAGGCTCCAGTAGTCATCAGTAGAGATCATCATGATGTCAGTGGGACAGACAGCCCCTTCAGGGAGACCTCCAATGTTTATGATGGCTCTGCCTTCTGCGCAGGTACACAAAGACACATCTACACCATCTTTCAAATTATTATGCAAGTGACATATCAGTAGGATCTCAGTACAATAAACATTCACATTTTGTTTTAGTTCTCAAATATTTTTTAGATAACTGGTATCAATCTCAGACAGGTTTGTTAAATAGTTTGCCATGTCTTCTTAGGTAAATATGAAACCTACTTAAAGAGGTTGTTCCATATTATTAAGCAACACAATTATTATTATTAAGTCACAGTTTTCATGCAATATGGGGAGGATGAAAGATCTTTCTGAAGATGAAAAGCGTGAAAAGGTGCAGTGTCTTGCAAAAGGTATAAAAAAAACAAATATTTTGTGAAAACTGAATAGTGATTATCGAACTGTCCAAAGATTTGTGAGTGATTTATTTTAGAGCACAGAAGCACACGGTCAGATAAAGCCTTATTAAGGAAAGTTTCTGTCAAACAAATTAATTGTATTAAAAGAGCAGCTGTAAAAAGCCACTGTTGAGCAGCAAACAGGTATTTGGAGTCTCAAGCTACTGGAGTCTCAAGAATCTCGCCATGCTGGCTGGCAGTTGTGCATAAAGTGCATTTCAGACACCCTTAACCAAAGCTCACAAGGAGAAATGGTGGGTGTAGAAATACATGAAAACTCATTTTTTAATGGTTTTATTCACTGAGGAATGCCGTACTACAATAAATGGTCCAGATGAATGGATGTGTGGATAGGTTGTGAATGGACACCCCATTCCAACAAGACTGTGACATCGACAGGAAGCTGGTGGGTGATGATTTGGGCTGTAATATTGGGAAGTGAGATGGATGGTACCTTTAGGGTCTCAGAGGGTCTCAAAATGACTTCTGCAAGAGATGTGGAGTTTGTAACTGACCATTTTCTACTCTGGTATAAAAAGAAGGATAGTGCCTTCTGAAATAAAAAGGATTTTCATGCAGGACAACGCACTTATCCCATGCTGCAAAAAACACCACGGCAATAAAATTTCTACACCCACCGTAAACGTTTCTCTTTGTGAGCTTTGGTTAGAGGTGGCTGAGTGCAACTTTACGCACAGCTGCCAGCCAGCATGTAGAGGTTGTTGAGACTCCACAGACACCAGTAGCTTCAAATATCTGTTTGCTGCTCAAAAGTTTTTATTTTATTTATTTTTATTTATTTTTACAGCTGCCCTTTTGTTTGACAGAAACTTTCCTTAATTAGCCTACTCACAAATCTTTTGACAGTTCGAAAATATCTATTCAGTAAGTTTTTGCAAAATCCATTTTTTCAAAAAAAAAAAAAATTTATTCCTTTCGCAAGACACTGCACCATTTCAGGCTTTTCATCTTCAGAAAGATCTTTATTCCTCCCCATATTGCATGAAAACTGTGACTTGCTGAAGAAGAGAAGACCTGGCAAACTACTGAACAAGTTTGTCTGAGATTGATACCAGTTATTTAAAAAGATATGAGAAATAAAACAAACATTTTCGTTGAAAAACTAATATCTGAATGTGTATTGTACTAAAATCCTACTTATATGTCACTTGGATAATAATTTGGAACATAGTCTAGATATACAAATGAACTACAAGTTGTATATAACCATATACTCATACACTACTAACTATACACTAAGGGATAATGTATAGTCATATTGACATTGTAAAATAAAGCTGAGAAGGTGATCAGGAGGGGTGTTGTGTTATCCTGAGAGGGTTTATTGTGTGATAATGAATGGTTGAATATACATTATCTTGCATATTACATGCCTTCTTAGAGAACAAAAAATAAATTACCATAATTTAAGTTTAAATAATTATTTATAGCTGTCATTTTACAAAATATCTGACTACAGAATGTTGTGATTGACCAATCAGAATTAAGTTTTCCAGAGAGACTATTTAATGGATTCATGTCTGTGCATTTATTATAGACATGGCAGTGCAGAATTTTGTTGGTGATGCATTCCGTGGCGCCACATGGGTTGCTTTGCACAATGGAGGCGGAGTTGGATGGTATGTAGAGATTTGATTTGTTATTGGTGAAAATTAATTATTTTCTAGTTCTAGATAAACATGTTACTGATTTCTTGCTATTTTGTATTATTGATTGACCAAAAAAACTTTTTTGGAATAAAAATGTACCATGAAAAAAGATATTAGTTATTAGTGCTTTAATTATTGACTCTGTATTGATTTTTTTAGGGGAGAAGTGATAAATGGTGGTTTTGGATTGGTTCTGGATGGTTCTGAAGAGGCAGGGCAGAGAGCTAGACTAATGTTGAACTGGGATGTCTCTAATGGGGTAAGTATCTTTGTGTGTGTGTCCTTCTGTGTTTATATATATATATATATATATATATATATATATATCACATGAATGCATATACATGATTATACTGTTATATGTGAATACTGATGTGTATAACAATAGGTGGCACGGAGATGCTGGTCAGGCAACGCTAATGCTTATGAGGCGATTCAACGTACCATGGAGGATCAGCGTCAGTTGAGAGTCACAATGCCCAACCCAGTACAGGAAGAACACATTCTGGATCATGCACTGCTGGGATAAACTAAACTCCACATTTAAATAAGAAATTATGCATTAATATGCAACAGAATGTCTATACGCTTTCATCTTATCTTACCAGAAAAAAAAGTTCACAAGTACTGTTCTATTCACTCAGGAAAAATGGACAATGGAATGCAGACTGTAATATTAAAATTCTACAGGCAAAAGCAACGTTCAAGAGTATCCTGAACTAGTCCATTATTTACAGCTACTTTTGAATTTGATGTCATGAATGATAACAATTGAAAGCTATAATTGCTCGGTTTTGAAAATGTATTTCAGTAAATTGGTTTAAATTAAGTAATTGAGGTACCTGATGTGTATTTTATATGGTTATAAAATAATAAGCTCCCATAAAGGTAAAAATGGTCCTGAAAAATAAATTACAAGGGGCCAAATTGTCTTTGGCACTAGTGCAATTATAGTTAGTACATGTCAAATGGTATTGTGGTAGTATCGTGCTACAAACAAAAGTATCAAATTCAGATGCAAAACTGAAGGTTTGACCTTTGAGTAAGAATGGGAGTCATGGATACAAATGTCAACATGCCACCAATAGACTTTAGTTAGCCTACTTCGCAGCTTCAAGAAATGAGTGGCGTTGAATAAAAATCATGATATGTTACAATTTAGCGTCCTCTTTATTTTAATATCTTTAAGATTTTTTTTACACAGAGCCAAAACTTCAATAATGGCGGAGTGCTTACTGGGTGATCCGACGCTGAAAGAGGAATTCAGGCGGTTAAAAAAACGTGATTTGACAGAGACGTACCTATTTCAAATGGCATGTGGCTCGTTTAGACCACAAAAATGCAGTGGGAGTGCCTTTAGGAAGCATATCATGGATAAGGTAAAAACCTCTCCCGCAACTCGACCGCAACCGAAGCATTTTGACGCTCGACCTGCAATACCTACATCAGACCTCAGAGGCGCTGCTGAGTTCTACACGCGCTTCCCTGGAGACAAGCCCGCGGAACACCCGGACTGGATCCGCGATAGGAGAGCGTTTAGAGAAGCGCTTGACGGTATGGGAGATCTGCGCAGATGGCTCCATAATAAACCGATTCTCACCGACCTGGAGGTTCTCATCACGGAACGAGACAGTCAAGATAAGCGGATGTCATCACCCCCTTCAAAAACAAGCATTTTCCCTCCACCACCAGATGTTACAACTGTAGGAACATAATTTGATACTGATATTGAGTAGGCTAGGCCTACAAACTAGAAAAGTGGCTAAAAAAGGCCACAGTTAAAAATATTACAAAAAGTTCGAATTTTATTGCATTAGAAACAAATTCGTAAACCAAATATTTTGGGGGGCACTGTTTTTTGTTAGTCTCCGCGTGCGCTCGGGCGTGAAGCTGAAGAAGTGAAGAGCTTTCTGCGCGCCCGCGAAGCCTGTAATCTCTCCAAATTCTTGGACTGGTATGGGACTGGTAAATTAAAGCGTGTAGACCTCTGTGCTCTGTTTAAGAAGGTGAGCATTGTGCAATGCATAGCATTGGCAATTATTTATTTTGAATATTTTTGATTTTGCACAAATTTAAGAACATTTTGAGTAAAAACGTGTGTGTTTTGGTTTGTAGGACGGTCTCTTCATACAGCCTGAGCGGATGAACGTGCTAATGTCCTCATTAAATAGTGAGGATGGAAACTCAGTAACTGTGGAAAACCTGGCTGTTGGGATCCAGGCCTGGAACGGAAAGCATCAGGAAAGGGAAGAACACAAATCAAACGCTGGTATATATTAGTCAAGGGGTAAAGGGAGAAACTAAATAGTTTTTATTAGGAACATTATTTCTTTCAGTTTGTAACAGCATAAGGTATTGTGTATTTATGTTTAGGTTGGAACGCAGACCATGAGAAAGGGACTTGGACAAGACACCATCTTCCAACACATGGAATCTCACTAGAGGAGAAAGATGATGAGGTACTGCAACACATAAACATATAAACAATCACAGTCCATTTTTGTTAAGATTATGCTTAAAAAAAACAACTTTTCGTCATACCAAAAAATTGTGATAATTCCATGGTATATATTGTAATACTTAATATACCATGTCTTATTGTCATACTTTTATATGGTAATCATGTAAAAGCCTACCATGGTAAATATTAAAGTATTGTATTACCAACAGAAACCGTCACAGTACCATGTTCCCACCACTGCAATTAAAACTATAATTATAATCACACATTTATAATTATTACTAATAGTTTTGTATTCAAAGAATATTAATTACAGTATTGATAATATGTCAGTTGCGTTATGTTACATCTGTAATAGAGCTCTTTGAATGTGAATGTTTCTAGATGGGCATGCAGGACGTGGAGGTGCTGGCGATCATGAGGAGAGTTTTGGCAGCCACCAAGACCTCTTGCCCTTCTTCTCTGAGTGGCAGTACGGGCAGAGAAGTGGATCGTTTCAGGACACTTTGTTTTAGAGAATACCTCAAATCTATAGAGCAATGCCAACGACAGGGGCTTAATGTGAGCCAAGCCACTCTACAGAAAGGTATGTTTTTTGTTGTTTTTTATAGAAATTGCTCATACACACAAGCACATATAGAGATGACATTTTAAACCATTGTAAAAAAGCATGGTGGAATACAAATGTAACCTGACAGTGTGTCTTTCTCTAGTCCTGTTGCACCCTGGTGACATGAGCTTGTCTAGCAGCTCCAAATTGGGAGGGAAAGGTCACTTGTCAGGCTGTGGTGGACAAGAACAAGTCCTGACATTCCTCAGGACATCCAAAACACACCGAGTTGAAGGTGGAGCAAATAAGGGCCACAAAGCGATGTAAGTCTCTCTATGACAAAAAAAAAACAAGGACAATGCTGTTCTTTTGAATTTTATATTCATCAAAGGAACCTGAAAACATATATTATGGTTTCCACAAAAAATATTAAGCAGCACAACTGTTTTCAACATTGATAATAAAAAGAAATTACAAGACAATCAGCATGTTAGAATGATTTCTGCAGGATCATGTGACACCGAAGACTGGAGTAATGGCTAAATAAAAATAGAAAACAGGTATTTTAAATTGTACAAAAATATTTCACATTTATTACTGTTTTTACTGTATTTCTTTATCAAATAAATACAGCCTTGATGAGCATAAGAGACTTCTTTTAAAAACATAAAAAAATCTTACCAACTCCAAACTTTTAAACAGTGTAGGCCCATGCCTTAAAGGGGTCATATAATGCCATTTTTGTACAAGCTAATATGATTATTTAGGGTCTAAATTATAAGTTTGTAATATACTTTAATTAAAAATTCTCATTAGTATTGTAAGAAAACACTTATTTTACCTGGTCAAAAACAGCTCTGTTTTCAGCACGCCGTTTCAGTGCATATGACTTTAAATGATAATGAGCTTTGCTCACTCCGCCCCTCTGTTCTGCGCATACACCGTTTGTAACACAATAACCACGCGTTGTTCATTATAAACATGGGATTATGAATTATATTGAGAACGTTGTACATAGAAAACATGCTGTAATGTACCCTGAGTGTAAACCGACGCATTCATCGTGAAGCGTGCAGCTGGCGATTTGCAAAGATTATATAAATATTAATATAAAGATTAATAAAACGTTACACTCACTTTAGTTCTTCTGAAGGTTCAGCAGGAAGACGAATAGGTTCCGATCCTTTATTCAGGTGCAGCTTCTCAGCAAAACCATCTTTACACTGATCCTCGTTTATAAAGCAGTCCACTGAGAAATGATTCGGCAAACATGAGAGCATTGACGTTAATCGTGGGGAATATTCCCTTCGAAAACAAACTCAGCCACTGCGTCTTCAGCGGTTCGGATTTAGGAACATTAAAATGACTGTGTTCGTTATTACACCCAAGAACAAAACACCACAATCGCTTAGACGCCATTCTGCTCATAGACAGTGCTCCAGCATATCAACAATGACGGCGCCGATCCGCGCAGACTATGATTGACAGGACGAGCGAGGGCGGGTCTGTGTTGAAACTCCTGTGCTGACTCCTGTCAATCAACAATCGTGGGAGGGGCGTCCGTTTTATTGACGTCACAAAAACGAACGGCTCAATTTGAGGCAGGGGAAAACATATAAGGAGATTAAAACAAAAACACTGGATGGATTTTTATCATTATATGATGGTTGTGTACAGGCACTGCCAACACACATTTCAGTACAATCAACTTGTAAAAGTGCATGTACCATTATATGACCCCTTTAAATAAGAGTGTTTGTATTGAGTTATGTCTGTATATGTGTTGTAGGAAGAAGCAGTCAATTCGCTGGGCGGACCCTAATGCCTTCTGGCCTGGAAAGGAAGATCATGTGCGCTTGTTTCTGCCTGTAGTGACAAACTCTCCTGCAATGGTTTTATTTCAGCGTATTGATCGTGCTGTTGCGCCAAGTCCCGGAAACTGGCCCGTAAATCATTTAGGATACTCAACCTCTGGAGATATAGAAGCTCGCAAGATGTACACTCTCTAGAACATTTTTGACTGTATTGAATGTCTATATGAAGTCGGCATGAAACGGAAGTTGCAACAAGATAAATCATTTATTAAAAAAACTGCAATATTCCATAAAAAAAGAATTGTCCAATGACATTGTTGTTTTGACTTACAATGCTAATTTCCACCATTATGGCGGCACGCAAATACTTCTGTAGATGTGCTGCTCTTTTTAGCCACACAGGTCTTTATTTTGTCACTCAACATATTCTCATACATGTATGTGATGCAAAGTAGACTCACGCAGCCATGTTTGATTTAATAAATACTAAAATGTACTGTTTTTTTTATGTAGGCTATAGAATGAATTATGAACATACAAATAACTTGTGTGTGTGTGTGTGTGTTTTGTGAATAGAGCTCTGTTGTTTTTCCTTATGTCAGGATATTTGCATTAGGAAGTATGATGCAGATTGATTTGTTTGATATGGATCAGGACACCTGTGAATTTAGAAAACAGAAACGGCACACTGTTGAAGACAGACGTCAAAGACGAAGAGATGTCACGGATTTTGAGTCCGCTCCTGTCGACTCGTGAGAATGGCCTTCTCTGCAGTTTACTTAGTCATGATTGCAGTGTGAGTTCACTTTTTTTGTTATACATCAATTGATCAAAATATTATATTTCTAAAAGAAACCATACCTTGTGCAGGAATTACTGTTATTCCATTCCCATAATTCACTGTTAGTCTATAGTGTGTTGTTTAAAATGTAATTCTATGACATAATTTTCAGGTGAGATTCAGAATATATAATAAACAGTTTCAGGTCTGTATTGCATCCCACATTACTGTGTGTATATGTTTTCAAGTGAGTGTTTCTTATTCTAAAGATTCGAATTCCAACTCCACAGTACCCAGTGGGTTATCAAAACACTTGGTTATTTTTTCTAGCTCTTTTCATGCATTTGTTTCACTTTTTCTGGAACTTTTATGCAATGCTCATAATGTTTTACTGCTGTCCTTACACATCCTGATCCTAACTGATCACTGGTTTTTCTGGTTTGTTGAAAGAACACATGGTGGTTATTTTAATAATTCACAAGTAGAGCCGTAGAAGCCAGGGCTGCCGCATAAAATTGTTTTTCAACTATGCAAACTTATGCAAACAGCATATTTCGACAAAACTGCGTATTTGTACAGACAAAAAGACATGGCACAACTACACCGCTGACCGCACTGTCTGTGGTGCAACTGGATCTTTCTGGATACTTGTGGTTGAATGTGTATTTTTAAAACAATATTGTGTGTCTGTGAATATGTACTTTATATGCACTCAACATGCAGATTTAGAGACACACTCTATATTTACAGTGCTTAGCATTAGTCAACACACCCATGCTAAAGTTGAATAAAAAGAGGAATAAAAAAATCATCTTTTGGAAATTGATCTTAATGCCTTAATTAAAAAAATGAGGAAAAATCCAACCTTTAAGGACACCAATTTTCTTTGTGAATGAATAATGTATCGTAAATAATTAAATGTTCTTCCTTAAAATACAGGGTGCATAAGTCTCTTACCTTTGGCATGGTTTTATTTCAGTTAGCCTGAGAGATGATCTTATGGAAAGTACCCCATGCCAATCTCTAGGTATGGTGAAGGCTATGTGATGATGTGGGGCTATTTTAATTCCAAAGGCCAGGGGAACTTTATCAGGATGCATAGTATCCTGGATCCATGAAATAACTGGCCTTTAAAAATAAAAATCTGCCTGCCTCTATGGGAATTTAACATAGAGGTGTCCTGACTTATGCCCCCTGTATTTTAAGGAAGAACATTTATTTATTTACGATACATTATTCATTCACAAAGAAAATTGGTGACCTTAAAGGTTGGAGTTTTCCTCATTTTTTTAATTAAGGCATTGAGATCAATTTCCAAAAGATTATTTTTTTATTCTTCTTTTTAGTCAACTTTAGCATGGGTGTGTTCACTTATGCTAAGCACTGTATTTGTGTTTCTTTGTGTACATTACAGGTTTTAGCATGTGGTATTGTCCAGCTGGTAATTGCAGAGAAAAAGGAGTGGAAAAGTCACAGTTTTGGAGTTTTATGTCTGGTGCAAGATACCTCCATTCATTCAACATTCATGAGACTCTACTGTCTTAAGGTGAGGCTAACAGATATTACAGAGAGAGCTTACCCACTCAGTGTGTTTATCTCAAATGGTAAAAAAATTTCTTCTAAAAAAAATGATACGAATCAACAGTTGAAATCATTTCAATAAATTCTTTTATTAAAGGGATAGTTCACCCAAAAATGTACATTTTGTCATCATTTTCTCACCAGCAAGTTGTTCCAAACCTGTATGAATTTCTTTCTTCTGCTGAACAAAAAAGAATATATATTTTGAAGAATGTTTGTCCATTGACTTCCATAGTATTTTACCGTCAACTGTCTGGTTACACACATTCTTCAAAATATATTTTTTCTGTTCAACAGAAGAAAGAAACTCATACAGGTTTGTAACAACTTGACGGTGAGTAAATGATGACAACATTTTCATTTTTGGGTAAACTATTCCTTTAAATACTAAAACATTCAATAAAAAAAAGTGTTTTTATATATTTAACACTGATGTTCCATCACATCATTCTCACAAATCTCATAACCCTGACATTATTATATATAATACTCTCTTATAAATAAAGGTTCCAAATGGGGGTTTTCACAGTGATCCAGAAGAACCTTACAGTGAACAGTTCTTAAAATAACCATTTTTTCTTAGTGTGAAGAACATTTTAAAAATAACGAACCTTTTTCCAATATAAAGACCCTTGCCTGTACTGATTCTACTCTACGGGTTTATTTGCATGCATTATTCATTCATTCTGCACTTTTTTCCCCAGAAATCTCTTTATTGATTGTCTGCCCTATTTCCATTTCAATCCATTGTGTAATGATTCTACATTGGATGTTTAGCCCATTTCTTATTGGGATGCTACTACTTTTTTAGTACCACCTCGTCACCGGTTTTTCTCTTTCTCTCAGCAAAAGGCCAAGCTGCAATGGGAACAGGAGCTGTATACACCATTTGTGTACTCAGAAACTTGTCCTTATTTCCACACCTTTCCTGGTGACGTGAGTGACAAATGCATTACTTTTAAACTCCAAGTCTAATTCTAAGGCTGTTCAGAGTATCTCGCTAGCGTGTTTATATGCATCAGGTTTTTACTACATTATGGAGACCAACCAAGCAAACTAAATGCCTTACTCGTGATTATGATTAAAAAAAATGCTAAAAGATTTGTGTAACATTCAGGTTTAGGACTTAGGAAATATTATTAGCTGAACAATAGAAGTCAATGGAAAGTCTTCATCATGATGGAAACCAAACGTGTGTGTGTTCATGCAGGAGTGTCAGATAGGAATAAACTTTGCGGACGAAGGTGAGGCCAAGCAGTTCTACATTGCTATGCAGAAGCAGATCAGTGACAACAAAGGTCTGACCCTCTGAACACTCCTCACAAATCACATCAAATAAAGAACACTGTGTATCCGAGCCCCATTACACCTGTTTCTCTCTTCTCCAGCATCTCACTCGGGACTTACACGCAGATACAGTGTGGGGGCTATTTCTGATTGGAAAGACAAGCTTGACAATTGTCTTAGAGGACATGAAGTGCAAAAGAGGTGAGAAACAAAACAGACACAGACAGGCAACCTTGGAGTCTGTGCTGAAATCTACATCATATACATTGTAAAACATGAAATTTTCGACGTTATAAAAAAAAAGATTGGTGGAATACGTTTTGCAAGAAATTATGTTACTTACTGTTTCTTTGTAATTGTGAAATTTACTAGCAATTTCTGAGAATTGTTTCAAAGTAAATCATTAATTGTTTTCCAGTGTAGAATATTTGGGTTCTGATTCTCTGGTCATATAGTCTTTCTCTAAGAAGTGCATCCAGAGTTCCACCCCATCTTGATTCAGATGCAACATTTCCAGAGAGCAAGTCCAGCCAAATAAATAACTCATCGCAGACTCTCTCCAGCATTAACGAAGAGTCGATCTCGCTCGCCCAGAGGAAAGGGCCCCTCCCACCTCTTCCCCTTCATGCCAGGGCAGCCATGCTGAAGTTGAATCGCAGTTCTAGCATGCAACAGTTTGACTCCACCATTGCTGTTCCATCAGGGGTTCCACCCCCTCCATCTTACCGGGCTCCCACAACCCCTCTAAGTTCAGCTGTAAGTATGCTCATATATACTGTATGAAATACCGAAATGTATGTAAATACCCGTTTCAAAATGTGTTTGTTGTAGGTTAAAGATCACTCTTCAGCTAGAAGGAAGCAAACTTTTCATTATAATGGTAACTCCTCTGTCTAAATCTCATTTGTTTGACTCAGTTTTCTCCTTAAGGACTACTAAATATGGCAGACATGTTTCTATATTTACAGCTGGCATCGAGGATGAATCTGGCTATGATGATTACCTTTAAAACCACCATCCTCTCCATCATAAGGGACTTTATGACACAGCAAAAGAAGGATCTGGTCATGTTATCCCACTATTCCCTCCGGACACTTAACACATTGAATATATATCTTTATATGATAGGAATCTCTGCACCACAATGTGGTTCTTTTTTATGAATTGATGCAGTGAAGTAGTCAAATCTAATAAAAACATAACAGTGGCCCCGAACAGTTTCTGAACTAAAGAGAACTGCAAAGTGTCTAAATACTTAGTCTTAAGTTTGTCCATTGTTTTGGAATTTAAAACCTCAATAAATTCATTTTTGTGAAATGTTTTGCTTGAAATGTGTACTTGTGTTATATGCTGTAAAGGGATACTCCACCCACGCGCCGTTCCAAAACCGTATGACTTTCTTCTGTGGAACATTAAAAAGATTTTTTAGGAAATGTCTGTTTTTGTCCATTCAATGGGCTCTTATGTTGTTTGGTTCCCACTTCAATATTCTTCAAAATATCTTTTGTGTTTCATAGAAGTCATGCAGGTTTGGAGCGACAGGAGTAAATGATGACAGAATTTCCATTTTTGGGTGGAGTGTATGAGTCTGAGATTCATACATTTTAAGGTGTAGCTTAAAGGGGTCATATAATGGCATTTTTGTACAAGCTAATATGTTTCTTTAGGGTCTAAATTAAAAGTTTGTAATATACTTTAATTAAAAATTCTCATTAGTATTGTAAGAAAACAGTTATTTTACCTGGTCAAAAACAGCTCTGTTTTCAGCGCGTCGTTTCAGTGCATATGCCTTTAAATGATCATGAGCTGCGCTCACCCCGCCTCTCTGTTCTGTGCGTACGTTTTTAACACAATAACCATAACGCGTTGTTCATTATAAACGTGGGATTATGAATTAAATTGAGAACGTCGTACATAGAAAACATCCAGTAATGTACCCTGAGTGTAAACCTTAGACTCATTCATCGTGAAGCGTGCAAGCGATTTGCAAAGATATAAATATTAATATAAAGGTTAATAAAACGTTACACTCACTTCAGTTGTTCTAGAGGTTCAGCAGGAACACGAATAGCTGGTACCGATCCTTTATTCAGGAGCAGCTTCTTAGCAAAACCAGCTCATATTGATCCTCGTTTATAAAGCAGTCTGGTGAGAAAGATTCGCGCAAACATGAACGCATTGACGTTGCTAGTGGGGAATATTCCCTTCGAAAACAAACTCAGCCACTGCGTCTTCAGCGGTTCGGATTTAGGAACATCAAAATGACTGTGTTCGTTATTACACCCAAGAACAGAACACCACAATCGCTTAGACGCCATTCTGGTCATAGACAGTGCTCCTCCAGCATATCAACAATGACCACGCCGGTCCGCGCAGACTATGATTGACAGCTGGCTCACGAGCGAGGGCGGGTCTGTGTTGAAACCCGGCTGTCAATCAACAATCGCGGGAGGGGCGTCCGACCGTGTGACGTCACACGGTCGAACGCTCGATTTGAGGCAGGGGAAAACATATAAGGAGATTAAAACAAAAACACTGGATTGATTTTTTATCATTATATGATGGTTGTGTACAGGCACTGCCAACACACATTTCAGTACAATCAACTTGAAAAAGTGCATGTACCATTATATGACCCCTTTAACTATCCAAATATTTTGAATAGGCCTACTATTTATCATGACTTTACTTCATTTACGTAGACAAAGTAGAATGAAATATGTTTTGTTAGAGCTATGATGACAGCATTAGACAATGACAGCACAAAATGTATAATGTTCTGTGATAGTGACTGATAAATTATCAGCTTGAGATTACTTCCCTCACTGATTGATAAATGGCAGCATATCACCACATTTTGCCCTTGGGTTCTTGATTTTAAGTTGGCCCACTGGAAGTGTGCATTACTGCTGATGAATTTAAAAGATGAACAGTGTGTACAGATCAGTTTCTGTAAGTGGATTATAGGCGTAGAGAGAGAAACATGTTGCACTAAATTTCTCCATTATCTACAGGCCAGCTCATTTTAATTAATCTATTGCAAAGCAACTCATCTGAAATTACATAATGAGTGTGAGAGTTATAAGCGTTACTCTGCCCTCAATCTGTTTCTCTAAAGTCTGGTAGACTTCTCCTATGTGGCTGTTTTTAGACGCGCGTCTGTTATCTAAACCCGCACACAAATCCTGTACCGGAGCGCTTCTAAGCAATGTTTCCACGAACCAACGGGGACGGACAACCACAAGCTCTTCCACAAAAGCCAGTGCCTGAAGACGTTAGCCGCCCGCTGCTCTTTATTATAACCTGGACGATGAGGAATTCTAGCCGCATCCGAGACGGACAAAACCGCGACGGGACAGGTAAGACACGGTATCTTCCCTATACAGCAACCTAAACCAGCATATCTATCTATAAATTCACTTTGATTTGTTGTAAATAATGCATGGGGGAAGACTTCTAATGGTTAGTAAACAAACTTTATAATAACTTCTCGAGAAAACGAAAATTATTGGATGATACACATTTATTTGTGTTTTATATAAATGTTATATGTAGCCTATATTTAGCAGCATGGGTTAAATAAGAATTTGTAGAAAGGCACACACTCCGAGTGTTACTACGCTGGCATATATGCAAGACAAATCGGTCAGAGTATGTTAGAATGAGGAGAATTGTGTGTCTGTGTGTGTGTGTCGCGTTCTTAGATCAAAATGCATGGTATGTGCCTCCTTAGCTTAGTCAGAATTGCAACTGCACTATCACCCAAGATAACCATGATACAGATGTTTCTTTGTACTGTGCAATTGTACTGTCCAATATAATGTGTTTTAGTGTGCTGGTTTAAGATAAAGGGGTGGACAGGGGTTTTCGGAGCAGATCTGATTAAGGTCACCAGTGAGTCCTATTGGTGGGTGGATTACTATGGTAACACACCGAGCAAAATATTGCAGGCCTTTGTGTGAGCCAATAAATCTTACTGTGGTCTGTGACCCGTGTGATAATTTATCTCCTTTTTGTTTATCTTTTCTTTCCTGAGATATGAAGCCTACTTCCTATCTGCTCTCATACTTATACTTTTCTTGTGCTCTATATCCACAGAGAGTTGTTCCTCCTTCTGTGCTTTCCCATTTTCCTCCTCCTTATGTTGTTTATTTCTTGCTCATGTGTGGCACACTCTCCACCTCTGTCTTGCTCCCTCTCCCTTTCTGGTTATCTGTGTGAAAGTTCAGCTCTATTCCTCCAATCCCATTTAAGGATTCAGATCTAACTCGGGTTTTGTGTCTGCGTTTGTGTACGTGTCTTTTTCGCATGTCTATTGAATTTGTATGTTATATGTGCAAAGTCTGCTGAATCATAGCTGCATACCTAATGCAGTTTCAGCCCACTCCCATATACAGAATACTCTCATCTGTTTCTGAGTTTAAAAGGCTCTGATGTCACAGGCTGCAATGTGGGCGGTTGACATCTAGAGGAAACCTAACCTCAACCCTATTTTTGAAAAACAAATGCACCATGCTCGTTTAAAAAACTCAAAATTAACAGGGCGGAATATTTACAATTTTAAGGAAACATTTACTCAAACTAGAGAATTTGATAGTGATGTCTTTTTTTCAAAAGCTGGCTGGATGGTGAAATTGTGCTGTACACTGTGTCTATAATGGCGGAAAACATTTTATACACATCATTATTCTATAATAATCTAATATTATTTTACAAACTATATTTCTTTATCTTTTTCATCTTTCTGTGGACCTAATGCCTACTTATTTCTAAAAAATTGTCTATGATAACCACACACAGATCTCAGGTGGAAAATATCTGAGTGTCTGAGTACCTGAGCTGCTTGCTGTTGTCCCCCTGCTAAGGAGATTAGTCCTCTTGACCCGCTGACTGGACATTCACCTTTTCCCCCCTCCCTCCCTTTCTTTCTTTCTTCATCACCTGTTTTGTGTCTTTGCCATCTAAAAAATAACTGTGGATAGTTTTTTTTTAAAGTATAATTAAGACAAATTATAGCCTGCATATATTTTAGCAAAATCTTGAATTCACTTAAACAACATAGGCCTACATCTTTTACACAAGTGTGATTCATCATTCAACCACAAGATGGCCCTATTATCCTGCTGTTTTGTTTAACCATTTTCTGTTAAGTAGCCTATCCCATCCGCGGGATATCCCTCTGAAGCACCTGCAAAACCTACTAACAATAAATACACTACTTGTCTAAGTTTAGACACATCTGACCTTTTGATGTACAGGCTTATACTAAAATGGTTGAAACAATTTTTTAATGGATGAGTTGGACTGGATAATAAAGGAAAAGCAGCCAACAAATGACCAGCACACATGGAAATGTTTAAAAAGCAAAAGCTGGTTGATTGGCTGGCTAAAATAAGATAGTTGTTTAACTTTTTTTTGGTCACTAAAAATACTTTGATTTGTGTTGTTGCATTATTTTGATAGACTTACTAGGCTATTATTTGACTTGACTGGAAGTGTAGCTACATACTAATTTCATTGTATTATAAATTATTATGCATAGTAGCTAATATTACAGTATGCATAGGCCTATATGTATGATTATTTTTAGTAAACCTATACAAACTGATATAGTTTATGTACAGCCAGAAATATTGCTTATGATGGTCTAAAATCAGTTTCCGTACTTGATACTGCACTATTTCTCAAAACTATTCACACAAAAAAGCTTTTAAAGAGAGGAAGGTGCTCTTATTCTTATTCCCCTTTAAAACCAGCTGCTAAACCTGCTTTGACCAGGCTGAAACACCAGCTAAGACCAGCTAACCAGATTAGGCTGACTTTAGCTGTTGTTTTTTCAGCAGGAAAGACCATACAAAACATTACTGTCCACAATATGTCTGCTTCCAACGATGAACCTGTACTTGCTGCGTATATATTTATAGGGCAAAGTTCTTAGTAATATTATTCACGGGTTTGGTGGCGAAAAGGAACAAAATGTTCAAGTCTTGTAGATATTTACCATACTGCATTCATGCCGCACGCCTCCTCGTGCAGTGTTTTTGATATTCTATTGGTCGACTCATTTCTGTCGAGGGGCTTTGATTGGACAAAGACACATCATCATTCACGACCCATGTGCAATTCATGTGAACAGCAGCAGAGCTGTTTTCAACCAAACTTCTGCGATCACTTGACTTAGGCTACTTCTTTTTTGCCTTCCTGAGCAGTTTTTCTTTTTTGTTTGTTTGGCCACATCATTGAGTGGTTTTACGGTAGATTTTAATACGATATACAATGTGATATTTGAACTGTAAATTGTGTAATTTTCAGCGCATGTGTACCCTCTAACCCAGTACTAATAATAACCAACGACCAACCAACGAGTTTAAAATATTCAGCGAGGTAGCCTATTATGCTTTTTTTGCGTGCAATGAATCGCTATTCAGCGAAAATAAAAATCATGTTAGTCATCATGTTAAATGCAGGGGACTTATTCGTTCTCATAACAAAAGATTGAGTATTCAACTTAAAATAATCAGTTTTATTCATATATTATTGGCCAGTTGCATGAAATACGTAGAGTCACATATTCATCTAATTTGTTTAACTTATACTTTTTCTAAAATCAGATAAAAACGTATATTGATCTCATTTTAACCCAAAAGTAGTGGCTGTGTTGATGCACCTAGTCTGCCTGATTATGAAACTTTTTTTGTAGCAGTTGCGCGTTTTTTGTTGGTATTACGGTAAAGTCTGTCATTGATAACGCTCAGCCGATATGACATGTTACACAGCCCACATTGAGCAGCTCGGCTTCAGTCCGCTCAGTAACAGCGATCAGTGGCAGGAATCGGAAGAACCTGGTCATGATAACACAGCCAGGATGAGTTCTAATGAAGATATTATCATGGCGATTCCCAGAGAGCTTACACAAAACCCACTGCGGAAAATATGGATGCCATGCAAGAACGGGCTGCCGGAAAAACACATTTCTCAAAAGAGAGGTATGTGTTAGCTTTCGTCAAATACCAGCTTTCCACGACTAATTGATCAGACACAATGTGGTTATGTATAGCACTACGTGTTCGCTTTATATGTAATTGTCCCAAACGCCTAATTTTTTTTAATTTTTTTTTTACAAATTCCCGCTTAATTAACGATACTTGCATTTTACATGTGATGTATCTTTTAGGTTTGGGGGAAATATGGGGGAATATGTTCAAGTTACCATCTGGAATTGAGTAATAAAATACTCCCGGTGCGGAAGTAATGGTGCATGTTCTGTATTTAGAAAAAATCTCAAAATATGTGCTTATTTATCTCATTGATTTTATTACCAGGAAATTTATTCGAATACTATTCCAATTGCACTTTGTAGCCTTGCATATAAAGATGAAGAACCATACTGTAAGTAAACCCAGTGATACCTTTAAGTAGGTGCAGCATAATAAGACGGGAATTATGCAATCAGAATGCACCGAAATCTACCGGTTAGATAAAGTACAGTAAGTTACCTTGAAGCTCCAGTCTAAGTACTATATTTAGCTACAGTATTTTCCTCCCGGTGTCTGGTATTAGTAAACCCTGGGTGTTTGAGAATAACATGTGTCCAAAACGTCACAAGTCTAAAGTGCTGTATCACTATCAGCTCCGCAGCCTCTATTTGCTTATTTACTTAATATCAGTATCAACTCGGCATCATGAGCATATCAGCTGAATATCCTGTACTGATACAAGCACAACGCGGGCATGTTTTCAGCACCGGACCGGTACAATGGCTGCGTGCATTGTTTTGCGTTGCTGGTGTTCTATTGGCTGAACCCTGACTGTAGACTGTCTCTGATTGGTCAATGGTGCATCAACATTCGCGGCCCATGTGTGCAGAGTGTGAACACGGAACAGCAGCGGGGGCCTATGCTATGAAGCCGGTTTAGGTCTTTAGGTGGCAAGCCAGGTATGTTTCAGTTTAGTTTGCGCCAACCCTGGGTTTTAGGCACCATGAAAGTGGTTTGGCTTTTAGCAGTGTTCATCGCCATTGTAAATAACGCTCCACCTGTTTCTACTCCAAATTAAAGTTCACTACATAGCAAATGATTTTTAAAGACAAAATCGTCTGGCTTTTAGTAACGCTGATTTAGATATTATTTATGTAATTATTAATCGATCAGACATGTACAATTTTAGTTTATCAATTATTATTATTACGCACAGTTTAAATGAATAAATATATAAAAGGTAATATAAAATCAATAGATAAAGCTATAAAATGACTACATGTGTGCTTAAATGTTCAATTCTCCCTAAACCTTTATCAAATGTATTTAAACTAACTTCACAACTTATACTTGCATTGATATAGCAAGACTTTTTTCTTTTAGTTGTTGTTTCATAGACAGCTATTTTCTTCTTGCTGTGTACATTTATTTAAATTCTTAATATTTTTTAATCTCGTAATATTCTGCAGAAGAGAGAAGTGAATTGCGCTGCTTCTCTCACGAGAAATAAATCGCAGTTTCGCTCTTTCTCAGCATGCGATCAAGCCTGAGTTGACAGAGAAAGTTGATGATCAGCATCATGGTACCAACAAAACCTGGTTGGATTGCTTTGGTTTTGTCAACTCGAAACTAATCCTGTAACCCTGAGTTTGTTTAACTACCATCATGGTACTCATGATGATCAGACATCCGGGTCTCAGATGATCAGTGACCTAGTGTTTGTCATTTTTTTATATACAGAATGTAAGAATTCTTTACAGTCTTCTAGTTTTCTTGGCTACTGGGATACAATTGTATATTTTGTAATATTTAAGAATCTACAACTCTTGGTTTCTAATCAAAGCAATCTCAGCAATTTGTGGCTTTGATAATGATCCTTTTGGAAGTATTTTTGGAATTATTTTATAGTGGAAATTGTGTTTTCTTGTCTCCTGCTGTCTTACCCAGTGTGGCTGTGGGTGGAAAATCAGGATTGCGGTTTGACTTTAGGGATGTCCTTTAAATTCCTTGGGGCCTGTTGCGTTTAAATGGGCAAAAAGTAACCGTGCAGCAGTTGAGGTTTTTTTCCCCCAGATCACTGTCACATCAAAGCTGCTGCCATACAGGATTTTAAGAGGAAGTTTATAGCCATTTAAAGAGCAGGTTTGCTGAGCGAAGGCTGCTTATAAAGACTGTTTTCACTTGTATGGTTTCACTTAATTATATGCTGATTTTCATCTAATTAACAGATTTGTTTTGAACTCCATGAACCTGGTTGAATAAGCTGTACATGCAGCACAATCTGATGCTGAACAGTCTCAGTATGTTTCCTATTTAACTAGTCAGCAGAAAATAAAGTACACCGTGCACATGATCTCTCAGTTTTTGAGGATTCAGGAGAAATCGGCAGATATTGAGAAGAGCTTGATAACCATGAGTTTTAAGGAAATTAAGTTCAGTAAATAAAATATCTTATAAGTCAAATAAGTATCAGAAGGATTGAAGCAAATGTATTAAAATGGAGATAGAATTTGAGGTTGTTACATTGTATATAAATCAAAAGATTTAGTCCCGGCCATAAATTGATATAATTCTGCAGAAATAATTTTGCATGTCAATATTTTGGTTGAATTTGGTCAAGGTAAAACGTATAAAGGCAATGAAACCAATGTTTCCAAAGACTATTTCACAATAATCAGAATAGATTTATGAACATCAAAACATAAACAAATAAAAATTCTTTCAGAAGCTGCAGAGACGCTTCACGTCTGTTACCCTGACCAACAATAGTCTGTGTATGCATGGTTAGCTCTGTCAGATTCTTTATACTAACTAAAAATGAAGCAAAGACAGAATTCACTCTCCTTTCTGCTGTACACAGAACAGTTGACATTTACAGATGCATTTGTATTCTCGTTCTCTGTCTCTTGGCAGTTTGCATGACCAACTGTCCTACTCTCATTGTGACGGTGGGCTTGCCAGCGAGAGGAAAAACCTACATCTCTAAAAAACTCACACGCTACCTCAACTGGATTGGTGTACCAACAAAAGGTACGGTAATGATGCACAATGCTCACATACTTATGAACAATTAAACATTAAGTCTACAGCCAATAAATCTGTGTATTTTTTTGCAGAATTCAATGTGGGACAGTATAGGAGGGAATGTGTGAAAATCTACAAGAGCTTTGAATTCTTTCGTCCGGATAATGAGGAAGGGCTGAAGATAAGAAAGTAAGATGCAGCATGTTTTATTAGTTTGTGGATGCTTGTTTTTATATTTTTGCTGTTGCTGTGCATTTTGTGTTGTCATATGATTTAAAAAAAAAAAAAATTCTTCAGGCAGTGTGCTTCGACAGCACTCAATGATGTCAGACAGTATCTCAGTGTTGAGGGTGGCCATGTTGCTGTGAGTAGATTTTTTTTTTTTTTAAAGAAATTAATACATTTATTCAGCAAGGACACATTCAGTTTGATCAAACGTTATAATGTTAAGATTTCTATTTCAAATAAATGCTGTTTCGAGCTGTTTCTAATAATCAAATATTCTGTATTACAACATTGATAATGTTTGATCAACATTGATAGCAGCAAATTAGCATAGTATTATGATTTCTGAAGGATTTCATCACAGGAATAAATTACCTTCTAAAATATAAATAGAAAATAGTTATTTTGAATTGTAATACTATTTTAAAGTATTATGATATTATGGGGTTTGATCAAATAAATGCAGCCTTGGTGAGAATAAGAGTTTTTTTTTTTCAAGAACAAAAAAAAAACTTATTTATAAGTGTGTTGATTTTTTCAGGTGTTTGATGCTACGAACACAACCAGAGAACGAAGGGCCACCATCATGAGATTTGCAGAACAAAATGGCTATAAGGTAAAACACCATGTTGCGCAGTCATGTGAAATTTATAAACCTTTGGCATTATTTTGTAGAAGGCTAAATCACAGCAGTGTTTTTTCCCCCCACTGTTTTACTCACTAGTTTTTATATTCAAGTCTCTGTTTTTTCCTTAGGTGTTTTTTGTTGAGTCTTTGTGTGAAGACACCAAAGTTATTGCAGAGAACATTGTGGTAAGGCAGTGATTAAATACTGACGAATGATTCAAAGTTGTAATATTCCAGTGATTTTAATCAGTGATTGGATGATTTTTATTTTTTTATCTAAAAAAATCTCCAGCATTTGTCCTCAATACATTACTAGTTTTTTATCAAATTATCTCAGCATTCATTTCTCTTCTTTTTGTGTGTTGGAGAACAGCAGGTGAAGTTGGGAAGTCCTGACTACACTGACCGTAACACTGAAGAAGCCATCCAGGACTTTATGAAGAGGATCAAATGCTATGAAAACAGTTACCAGCCACTGGATGAAAACCTAGACAGGTCAGAAATCCAATTTCATTGGTTCCCTCTTTCTGAGAACGAGTTCCACTCGAGAGTAAATGCAGCATCATATTATTTATGCGGTTTGTGTTCTGTTTCTTAAATATTGTGTATTTTCTTACAGAGAGTTGTCATACATTAAGATAATGGACGTGGGTCAGCGGTATTTGGTGAACCGCGTGCTCGACCACATTCAGAGCAGAATCGTTTATTATCTGATGAACATCCACATCACGCCACGCTCCATCTACCTCTGTCGCCATGGAGAGAGTGACCTAAACGTCAAAGGTCGTATCGGAGGGGATTCAGGCCTGTCGCCCCGTGGTAAAGAGGTGCGTCATGGTATATGCGTCTGTGAAAGAATGTCTACTAGATTGGTCATTTGGATTCACCATCTCTCTTTCTGTTTCTCGTATGTATCAGTTTGCTCAGGGTCTAGGGAAGTTTATTCAGGATCAGAATATAAAGGATCTCAAGGTGTGGACGAGTCAGATGAAGCGGACCATTCAGACCGCTGAAGCGTTAGGTGTACCGTATGAACAATGGAAAGCGCTCAATGAGATTGATGCTGTAAGTGTTATACGATGATGTTCTCTTTGTAATCGCATTTAAAAGTACCAAGTCAGTGACTTTCAGCGTGTGTGCAGGGCGTGTGTGAGGAGATGATGTATGAGGAGATCCAGGAAAATATTCCTCTGGAGTTCGCCCTCAGAGACCAGGACAAATATCGGTACCGCTACCCTAAAGGAGAGGTGTGTTGAAAAGCTAGATTTACAATCAGAAAAAAATCCTTATTAAATCTGAGAAAATGTAACATTCTCTCTCTTTACAGTCTTATGAGGATCTGGTCCAGAGGTTGGAGCCCGTCATTATGGAGCTTGAACGTCAGGAGAATGTTTTGGTTATTTGTCATCAGGCTGTTATGCGTTGTCTACTTGCCTACTTCTTGGACAAGAGTGCAGGTGTGTAGATGGGAACGTGATCGTGGTCAAGGAACTATTTTCATATTGTTATGATCTTTAACCTTTTTATTTGCCTTCCAGAAGAGCTTCCGTATTTGAAATGTCCTCTACACACAGTCCTGAAGCTTACTCCTGTGGCTTATGGTGAGAAACTCATCTCTCTCACACGCATAGACATTTACTGTGCATGTGAACAGCATATTCTTGTATCTTCACCCAAAAAGGAAATTTGAGATTGGTTATGATCTCAATATCTCATATGTACGTAGCCATGCACATTACAACAAATTAATTATTTAATATTAAAGGGCTTTACGCTAACTTTTATTTTAACATAGCACAGGCCACACAATTGTAGCACAAGTATAAAACGTCTGTTACCATCTCTGAAAACAACCACAAGTGGTGCATGCAGTTCATCACTTCAACAGGCATGTTCTGACAAAGGACATTAATGTTCCATACTGGGTACACAAAATATAAACCTTAGTAAGAATTGTTTTCAGACAAACATTTTCTTTAATTTCTATTCTTCTGGATCAGTATAATAGCTTTATGTGAGTCCAAAATTAAGTAAAAAAAGAAAAAAGAATGGGCTTACTGTACATTTAAGACGACCTTGACTATGAGAGGTGATGAGGTGTTGTTCTGTGTGAAACAACAGCACTGACAGCAAAAACTATTTAGTTTAACACTAAGAACAGAACGTGGAAAGCCGACCTTAAGTAGTTTTAGAGAGGGTTTTACGGCAGTGATTTATGAAACCAGTTCAAAGACGCATTGAGAAATTTGCAGGATCCTTGAGGGAGCATTTCTCCCTGGTGTCTTATTTGTTGAAGAGTTAATTTAATTACCTGGAAACATGACCTCTTGAAATGTACTTTAATGTAACCTAGATTCTCTCCTGCACTAGGCTGTAAAGTGGAGTCAATCTATCTTAATGTAGAAGCAGTGAACACTCACAGAGACAAACCTGAGGTAAGGAAACCAGACAGTCATTTTACATGTATACATATTAATTCTGTTGGTTTTTGAACCTAAATTAAAAATCCATTCTTTGACGGTGACAGAATGTGGACATCTCCCGTCTGGCAGAAGAGGCTCTTCTCACTGTTCCGGCCCACTATTGACCTATGACATTACAAACTGTTCATCAGCAACACTCCATCATGCTCTTCCATCCTTTTTATGTGACTCCTCTTATTGGTTTCTTTGTGTTTGAACAGTGGGGAAAAGTCAGTTTTGAGTCCTGAAGATGAGCAACTTTAGGCCTTAGATTTGTATTTTCTCTCTTCTCAATTGCCACATAGGTGACTGGAATCCAGTTATTGATTTATTAACCCTAGTGTTGGGGTGTGAGTGTGCGTTCACGCGTGTAGGTCTGCTTGCATTTGAGACTGGTTCAGAACAGATTTGAATGAGATGCAAGTATTGTTTCTATACATTTCTACTTAAGATTTTTGCTAGAATCATTAACGCTTTGTTGAGTATGTGGGACTAAATGATCAGTGCAGGTGTGTGTGTGTGTGTGTGTCTTCAGATAATGACTGTTTAATGCTTTTGTTTTTTGATTTGCTTTCTGGCTTCACATTTCTTTAAGCAATACTTTACATCTCAGTCATTCACACAGTGGAGTTTCAATTAAGTGATTTGGCTTTCATTTAACACTAAATGCTATTCATAAAAATAGAATACTAACTTGGTTTATAAAAAATGACTGCAGATTTATCAGCGCACATGGACTTTACTTTGTACAGTGTTGAAACCACCGGGATCTTTCAGCTCTTGTGACGTGAGCGTTTTAAAAATGCTCAAAATGTAGCAAGAATTTTCAAATATATTACCTCTGTTACATTTCCTGCAAGAGCAAAATATAATGTTTACATTTTTAAAGTCTTGTTACAATAGTTGGGTGATTTTTATTTTATTTTTTTGCACATTAAGCATACTTATTTTCTTTTACTATTTTTTGACAAACTATTTCCTAAATCTCAACTATATATTTGAAATTGATTTGTGCTTAAATTTTTATTTTATTTTTTTTACTCTACAGTCTAGTGTTTAAGGAGATAAGGTGATTGAAATGTGTTCATCTCAATTACTGTCATGCTTATTACCAGGACTATTTCTTCTTCATCTATTATTTGAAGAGAACTAAATGTGAAGAGCTCTGTGAATCTGTGATGTATTCTGTTCTGCAGGTCGCTGTGATCAGTAGGGCTGAATATGCTCATGGTTCTCAAATTTGATGCACAATGTCACATTTTCTCATTAAATCATTCTGTCATGTAATATTGTCTCCAAGTTCTGCTGAATTTACTTATTTCTGCATCTTTATAGCAGACATGTTCCTATAAAGTGAACCCAACTTTTAAAGCCAGTTTAGTCTCAGTCATTGTTACATGTTACTTACTAGAAAAACTTGTCTAAAAATATTTTAATCAGTGTAGGTGTTTATTAAACATTCATATGGATGTCAATCAATCACAGTAATATAAATTCTAAAAGAGAAATATCAAAACATCAAAATAAATATATAAAATATACAAAAATTTCACACATTATATTAATCTCAAATTGAATCCATTTTGATAAAAAGGTGCGAAGAAAACCAGAGGGACATAATTCTGAGAACCACTCTGTGAAAGCATCCTATAATACTATACTTATACACAGTGCAAAGATTCATGTGATCATGTCAGTGCTTAAAATATGAATATACCACATCATACAGCAATGGGGGCCAAAATATCACGATTCAAGTCCTTTGATTGTACAGATCTAAGTATAACTTCATGACCATTTTAGAGTCCATACTAAGACAATTTAACATGCTTTTAAGGCAGTGACACTATGCGCACATATATGCTTGTCTGGTGCTTCCATTATGTCAGTCAGACCTCAGGCCCCGCCTCTCATGCCGGCTGCTGTGGGTTGATATTTAGGTGGGCGGGGTTTCCCAGCAGACCAATCCGTTGCTTGTGTTTCCTCTGCTCAGTCATCTTAAGATTGACACACACAAGGATGAGTTCAAACAAAACAATTAAGTTAGATATACACACATCACACCACAAGTTGACAACTTATGCAATTTAGGTGTAGTACAGGCTTTTTGATTTATAAAAAAAAACGTTCTAAGAATTTATAGTGTGTATTCGCATACCATTATTAAACAAGTCGCACACTCACCTGCTCTTTGAGCTCTGTGAGCTGATTGGTCAGGTTGGAGACCAACCTCATTGTGGACTCTAGTTTCTCCTGCAGACTGCGTAGTTCATTCTGCTCACCCTCTCCATCACTGCTGACCAGAGACATGGCCCTCATACGAGGAAACCAGTCCAAATTGTGTTCCTGAATGGAGGTTAAAGAGGTCATGCACCGATAAACATTGAATGATTTATGGTTTTATTTAGCTGCCTTGGCGGTTGGTCTCTCTCTCTCTCTCTCTCTCTCTCTCTCTCTCTCTCTCTCTATAATAAAAGTTGATATATTCTTAAAAGTTACTATAATTATACATAATTACTACAATTATACACATTCGAATGTAAAATTATATTTACATTTGAATTATATATATATATATATATATATATATATATATATATTAGGGCTGTCAAATGATTAATCACGATTAATCACATCCAAAATAAAAGTTTTTTTAACATATATGTGGGTGCACTGTGTATAATTATTTTGTATATATATAAATACACACACATGCATGTATATTTAAGAAAAAAATATTATTTATATATAACATATTTATATTTATATATAATATAAATGATATATAAATCTATATACAGTATATACATTAAAATATTTCTTAACCCTCTGGGGACTAAGTCCTTTTTGGTCAATTTTCTCTATTTTTACATTTGGGCTTATAAACCATATGTAATGGAGATGGATCACTATGTGTTTGGTATCTATGGATTCAGAAGACCCTAAGATAACATAAGCATGCATGTAATGTGTTTATAAAGGAAGTATGAGTGAAAAATGTACTATAAACTAGAGAATTTCAAAAACGGAAATTAGATTTTTCTCATTTATTTCTGAAAATCACACATCACAAAAAAATAGTGAACAGTTTTTAAACAAAAAATATATTTGTCAAAGCCTTTGCTTGACAGACATGTGTAATTGTTAAATAAAATGTGTAAAGAACAATGAAAAATGTAACTTTATTTACAAATAGTCCCAGGCGTTTTTCTTAGGAATGCTTAGAATTTTCTAAGCAATGCTTTCTCCTCGTCACTCTCCAGTAATTGTTCCAGAGCTTGTTCCACCGTAAATCGTTTACTGCTTGCCATCATAAAAGTGCTAAAACAATTAATAATGCTATAATTGTATGTATGTGTATATAAATATATATATTATAATTGTTCTGTCTCTCTCTCTCTCATATAAATCTCTGATAATCCGCTCCGTAAGCCTCCGTTCGCTCTCTCTCCTTCTCTCCATTCAACGCTGTTTGCGTCATATCCCTAACTATATAGTAGCCTACCACCCCTTGCAAAGCTACAGAGTCCTCTAATTTGCTAGAAAGGTCATGGTAACCTTCCTCTGATTGGGTAAGAAAAATATTTCTCCATCGGCAATTTTTCAATTGGTTGTTGTTCGCGGAATCTGCCAAACAACATCGATTTCATTGGCCTTTTACATAGTGGTATTGCGCAACAAGGAAGTGTGTATATTTACAAAGCCGGGCATCACTGTTTTCAGCGGAATCTGAGAAAGACGGTAAAAAAGACCGCAGCTCTCTATCATTAATAGTTTTTAAGATAATTACACATTTGTAAAAGTATGCCATTTTGGGCGGTACCGCCCAATCTGTCCCCAGAGGGTTAAATATATACAAGCATGTGTGTGTATTTATATATATAAAATAATTATACACAGTGCACCCACATATATTATGTAAAAAAAACTTTTATTTTGGATGTGATTAATCACGATTAATCATTTGACAGCCCTAATATATATATATATTAGATTTTAAGGTCAAGGTCAAGGTCACTTTTATTTATATAGCACCTTAAAATAGCATTTCTGCTGACCAAGGTGCTTCACAAAAACACAAAATAAAAACACAATAAAAACAAACATCATACAAATTTCATAGTATAAAATTTTAACTCACTAAGGCTACATATACACAGTTATGAGTACGCCAGAGAAAAAAGATGTGTTTTCAAAGCTGACTTGAAAGCATATAAAGAGGAAGCTAACCTAACAGATTGAGGTAACGAATTCCACAGCCTCGGACCCAAAACGGAAAAAGCTCTATCACCTTTCGACTTTAAGCGAGAGCGAGGGATAGTTAATAATTTTTCAGAAGATGATCTAAGAGTTCTTAGTGGAGAGTATGGACAAATGAGGTCTGTGATATAAACTGGAGCAAGACCATGCAAGGCTTTAAATACAAAAGTCAAAACCTTGTACTCAATTCTGAACTTGACCGGTAACCAATGCAAATGTGATAAAATAGGGGTGATATGCTCACGTTTTTTCTTACCCATTAAAAAACGAGCTGCAGCATTTTGTACCAGTTGCAAGCGCATTAATGAAAAATGGTTGATACCGGCATACTTAAAATTACAATTGGTTGTTGTTCGCGGAATCTGCCAAACAACATCGATTTCATTGGCCTTTTACATAGTGGTATTGCGCAACAAGGAAGTGTGTATATTTACAAAGCCGGGCATCACTGTTTTCAGCGGCAGTCGGCAAGTCTGGCAGATTGAGCGGCAGTCGGCAAGTCTGACATTTTAAAGCTGCAGTCGGCAAGTCTGGCAGATTGAGTGGACTTTGGCAAAATTTTGAATGTTTACAACTCTCATGCCCCTCCCCCACTATCAACGGATACCCTCCCACCGAGTTCATGCTCGTCAGTTCGTGTGCACCAGATTATCTGTGAACGCGCCCGTCTCATCAGCATCCATCAACACCATGGAGTATTTGGAGGTATGCTGTCCTGGCTAATCTACTGATAGATTGCAATTGCTAACGTCATTTATACTCTAAATGAGCTTACTTGATTTGTTAGTGTTTTGAAAGCGAGATACATCCGCCATCACTCTTCGTTACTGCGCGAACTTCAGGCGTGCGCATGTGATTGTAACGTGCGCGAGGGCAGGCGTGTGCCCGATCTCTGATTGACAGTCAGATCTCACACCCCCCCCTGCGCTGATTGGACCCGATGATCCGGGAGCTGTGGATT